TCGAGGCGATGGTGTGGAATTTAAAATGTCGCTCATTTTATAAGTAAAATTATGATTAATGAATGATGTGCAGTTATTTGTGGTGAGTTAAGTGACACTTGCGGCAGCCCACTTTCTTGTTATGAGGGTTCTAGGTGTGCGCCAGGCTGCCACTTCCTTCTGTTCCTCGTAATGGTTCCGACCGCCGCCACCTTTTATTGTGATGTAATGGAGCTCCGAATTTCCTTCGTTTCTCTGATGTTTTTGCGAGATATTAAAGGTTGTTATGAAATAATAAACAAAAAAATAGTATTCGATAAAACCGGAAAACAAAATTATATTTACTTGATTTCTAAACTGACACCATTTAGTTAGACAGATAAACCAGCCCAGGCGCCATTAGTCCTTTATAATACTTTATTTACCCTCGTTATCACAGATCAGATTACTAGCCGTTCGGCTGGTCAGTCTGTTCTCTTTGTCTAGTGTTGTACAGGAGGAAACCGGAGTACCTGAAGGAAGTGTGCCATATTAGAGAGGGTCACACTGAATAACTCACTTCTCTCATCCGTCTCGGACTGGGGATTGAACCCAGGACACGATATTGAGACACCTGCGCGTTACCGCTGCACCAACACCGCCATCTCGAGGACAGTTCGCTGTGGTGAACACGTATCTTGACTTCAGAATTGTTAAAGATTCGTACACTGAATTTTCCTGGTAAATGTATATGTAAAAACGCACCAAACTGACCGACTTAACAAGACTCTTCCTTCTCCACAGACCGTCCCCTAACCAATCAACCCTTATGTAATGAAGAAAATAGGAAAAAAATAGACATAGTTTTAAAATAGACCAACACAACCACCAGCTGAGGTACAGTACGGACAGCTGTACCTCAACAGTTTATAGTTTATATATAAATATATACACGTATATACATTTACAAACCTTCTTCGTAATAGCTTATACTTGTACTGTACATACCTGACAATTATAAAAAGAAAATTAGCATACCACGATTTCGAAACACTTACAGTACAATATTTAACAAATTGTCTGTACCTGACTTAGTAAATATAACTAACAGTAAGAATACGAGTTACATTAACATCTGCAATTATTAGTTGCTGAAAAATTTACTGCAAGGCCGCACTGCACAACATCAAGATCAAGTGTCCAAGCTTTGCAATGTATGTTGAAAACTCCTATAGGAATCCATCAGATCTCTATATAGTAAACAACAAGGCTCTAAGAGGTGATACCATCATACAGTCAACCGAGGGAACAACGCAGAGGGACCCTGTTGCAATGGCAATGTACGCAATAGGCCTATCCGTGCTCCAACTGCAACACACAATCAAATTTGAAACAACTGAGGTCAAATAAATGGCGTACGCTGATGACCTTACAGGAGCAGGAAAAGTGGAGGACACCAAAAAGTGGTGGGACCTGGTAACATCACGAGGCCCACAAATAGGGTACCACCCAAACGCCAGCAAGTCCTTCCTCATTGTGAAGCCAGAACATTATCAGCGGGCAATGGAGGTGTTTGTGGAAGTGAGGTCAAAATAACAAAGGAAAGCCAAAGACACCTAGGCGCAGTAATCGGCACGACTGACTTCAAGGCCGAGTATGTAATGGGAAAGGTGAATGAGTGGGTTAGGGAAATCCAAGCACTGTCTGAGATTGCTAACACAGAGCCTCATGCGGCTTTTGCAGCATTCACTCATGGAGTCAAGCGACAACTGCCCTGATGCGCACTATCCCTGTTATTGGTCCCTCCTCCACCCTCTGAAGAAGCTATCAGCGTCAATTTCATTCCAAATTAGTGAAACATCCTCACTTAACCCCAACAGAAAGACTACCTTTCACCGAGACTGGGAGGTATGGATTGACCAACCGAGAGAGATTGCTGCCACTGAACATCAAAACTCAGTTATTTCGCGGCAGCCCTCACGAACCACATAATAGCTCAGAACGCAGCAGGGATACCAGCGAAGTAAACAAGATTCGAAGGTCCATTACGACAGAACGACAGCACAGCCAAAGTGATAAGTTGCAGCAACTGTTGCTGAGTACCAGAGAATTTGAAAAAAAAGTAGCTATAGCGCAGGAGGAAGGCGCCTCGAACTGGTCAACTACGTTACCGATAAGGGCAAATGGTTTCAGTCTTAACAAACAAGAATTTACAGATGCCAATGCTCTAAGGTACAGTAGGCCAGTGGAAGGTTTGCCCTCCCAATGCATGTGTGGCTCTTCCTATGACGTCGATCACGCCATGGTGTGCAAGAAAGGGGGCTTCATATGTATGAGGCATGATGAAAGTAACGGATCTCACAGCAAATATGTTGAAGGAAATCTGCCGTGATGTCATGGTAGAACCGACCCTCCTTCCATTGGACGGTGAAATCTTCCAACATAGGACTTCAAACACATCCAGCGAAGCCCGTGTTGACGTCAGTGCTCGAGGATTCTGGACGCGAGGACAGCGAGCCTTCTTCGACATCAGGATTTTTTATCCCATGACCGCATGTCACCGTAACATAGCTCTCGATGCTGCACACGGGAGGAAAAAGAACGACAAGATAAGGGCATATGGGGAGAGAAATCAGAATGTTTATCAAGGCAGCTTCACTCCTCTAGTGTTCACAACCTCTGGTAGGATGGGACCAAGTGCAAGATGCTTCTACGCCAGACTCGCGGAGGTGATCTCCGAACAGAAGCAGTAGCCCAGAAGTTATGTTACAGCCTGGATGAGCTGTCGACTGTCCTTCTCTCTCCTTCGGTCGACTTTGCTCTGCCTCAGGGGAACGAGAGCATCGGCCCCAAAGCCGACAACCGCTGCAGATATTGACTATGAGGCTACAGTCACTGAATGCCGCATAGATCTGCTGCTCAACTAATTCAACACAGCTAGGGTAGCTACTTATGTATTAGGATATTTATTATTAAGGTAATAAAATGGCGGCGAAGGTGTGGCTATTGGGGGAGGCTGGAGGCCACGGTTAAAAAAAAAAGTAGTAGTAGTAGTAGTAGTCGTAGTATTACTCCTGGTTAACACTTCCAATGTATTCAACATAATCAACCGCAAGGCTACACATATGTCCAAGCTTTGCAATGTATGTTCAAACACTTACAGGAACCCGACTGTCCTCTATAAAACAAGTGTTTAAGGCCCAAAGAGGAGATACCATGCTACAATTAACTGAGGGAACAACCCAGAGGGACCCTGTAGCCATGGCAATGTACGCACTAGGCCTATCTGCGCTCCAACATTCAATAAACTATGAAACAACAAAGGTAAAACAAGGAGCAGGAAAAGTGGAGGACATCAAAAAGTGGTTGGACCTGGTAACATCACTTGGTCCACAAATAAGGTAACACCCAAATTCCAGCAAGTCCTTCTTCATTTTGAAGCCAGAACGCCATGAACGAGCAATACAGTAGAAGTCTTCAACGGAAGTGGTGTCATTATAACAAAAGACGGTTATAGACATCTACCTGTAGGTGCGGTAATCGGCACGAATGATTTCAAGACCGAGTCGTAAAGGGAAAGGTAAATGAGCGGGTGAAGGAAATCCAAGCTATCTGATATCGCTAAAACTGAGCCACATGTAGCGTTTGCGGTATTCACCCAAGGAATCAGTGGAACTACCTGATGCGCACTATCCCCGATAGCGGACCCCTCCTCCACCCTCTGGAAGAGGTCATCAGGGTTGCTTTTATTCCAACACTGGTGAAAAGCCTTCGCTTAATCCCAACAGAAAGGTCATTCCTTGCACTACCACCGAGATTGGGAGGAGTGGGAATGATTAACCCAGAGGAGCTTTATGCCACTGATCATCAGAACTCTGTCAAGCTCACGGCAGCCCTCACAAGCACACAGTAGCTCAGAATGGTGCAAGTGAGATAGATACCAACGAATTAAACAAGATTCGACGTTTCATTACGACAGCACACCCAAAGTGATAAACTGCAACAAATGATGCAGCAAATATCAGAGAACTTGAAAATAAAAGTAGCTATAGCGCAGAAGGTTGGCGCCTCGAACTGGCTAACAACATTACCGATAAGGGCAACGGGCTTCAGCCTTAACAAACAAGAATTCACGGATGCCATTGCTTTAAAGTGTGGTTGGCCAGTAGAAAGTTTGCCTACCCAATGTGTGAGTCGCTCATCCTACGACATCAACCACGCCATGGTGTGCAAGAAGGGAGCTTCATATGGCGATGTAAGGTATCTCACAGCGAATATGCTGAAGGAAATCTGCCACGACGTCATGGTGGAGCCGACCCTCCTTCCATTGGACGGTGATAATCTCCATCATAGGACTTCCAACACATCCAACGAAGCCCGTGGACATCAGTGCTAGAGGAATTTCTGGACGGAGGGACAGTGAGCCTTCTTTGACATCAGGATCATCGACCCCATGGCCGCATATTACTCAAATTATCTCTCGAGGCTGCACACAAGAGGAACGAAAACGACAAGAACAGGTAGTATGGGGAGAGAATTGTGAGTGTGGATCAAGGTAGCTTCACTCCTTTGGTGTTCACAACCTCTGGCGGGATGGGACCAAGTGCAAGATGCTTCTACGCAAGACTGGCCGAGGTGTTATCTGAACAGAAACAGCAGCCCAGAAGCAAAGTTGCAACCTGGCTGAGAAGTCGACTGTCCTTCTCTACACTTACGTCTCCATTGTCTTGCCCCAGGGGAACGAGATCTTCGGCCCTAAGCCGACATCATTCGCAGGTATAGAGTACGAAACATCAGTCACCGAATGCCGCATAGATCTGCGACTTAACTAACTCCGCAAGGTAAGTAATTTTAGGATATTTATTATTAAGGTATTAAATGGATGGCGAAGGTATGGCTTTAAGGGGAGGTTGGAGGCCAAATATTACAAAAAAATAGTAGTAGTAGTAGTAGTAGTGTTAGTATTATTATATTACAGTCTTACGACAACACACCATAAGTTACCATACATACATGTCTCACATGACCTGGCTTCCCTACAGACCCGTGCCCGATGTCTCAGCGTAACCTGCCTGCCTCCTTCTGGAACAGCCACTACCACGCGGGTATGTCCGGGTACCCTACGGCGGGTAGTTCAGTCACGTTGACAGGTCACGAGTCCCTCTATCCGGACTACTCCAGCCTGCACGGCCTGCACCAGAGCGACCCCTGGACCTACAACTTCACCGCGGCAGGCCAGTACCCCCACCATCGCTCCGTCGCTGACTTCACCTATATGCCCTCCTCCTCCAGGTGAGTCTTTCATTACCTGTCTCCCTTCCAAGTACGTCATCAACCTCTGTATCCTCTAAATAAGTCTTCAATATCTGTTTCCTTCTTCAGGTCGACGCCTCTATCTTCCTCCAGGGTCGTCCTCAACTATTAAATCCTATTCCAGACAGGGCCCCAGCACCTGTTTCCTCTTCCAGGAAGATCCTTATCACTTGTCGCGTCCCTCAAGATGATCTTCATATCCTTCTGGATATACGGAATTCCTCATTTGTCTCATCAAGTATTTATTATTGAAGGTGTTCGTAGAATCTCTAACCATAAGGACTTGTATTGGAATCCTCGCCAGTCATCACATATACAGGATGGTGTATGATAATGGCACGCCGTTATTGTTAATTCCTCCTTCATCAAGTTAACGTTAGGTGAACACAGTGTTTTGTTTCATGCAGTGAGATAAGACAAACTTGTGGGCGTTTGATATGGAAACACATATTGGTTTGCTGTAGTCGTTTTCGAATACATTGTGTTTTTGTTTTGATTAATTGAAAGTCATATTTTTTTTCTTGATTTGGTTCTCTCAAAGATATTATCAACATTTGGTTTTATTATCATAAGAGACATAGTGGATGTTGCCTTCGTTACCATAAAAGACATTGCATATTCGCTTTAATTGTTAAATAAGATATTCTGCTTTAGCCATTTTGGAGCGCATAATAGTTAGTGTTTTAGTTATTATAGAAGACATAATGTTGCTATGAAAGATATATGATATAGTAACGTGGCCCAGTACAACATGACAGGGACATAGTGGATGCTCATGTCACTTAAAGGAAATATTTACTGTATGTTATAACCCTTTAGAAAACATACTGGATGTTTTAGTGAACTATCTTGGTCATTTAAAGACATACTTGATGTTTTTAGCCACTCAGAATAATGTCACCGTGGATCAACTGAACGTCCATCAGAAAAAGGTTAGGCCACTCAGTACAGCACCCCGTCAATGGAGGCTTCGTTTCACTCAGAGCAACTTACTGTACAACGATCAGGTAAATGGTAATCAGAAGCTGTAAACCACCCAGGAAAACCTGACTGAAGGACGAGTAAACTTAACGCTAAGATCCGTGACGTGTCGGGGTGGAGGGGGGCGCTGAAGGATAATGACACCATACCAAGATTGATTTCCGGATACCTCCCACCTCAGCAAATATTTTACGGTGCCCACTCCCCTCCTACCCCCTCCCCTCAAGATCCCTTACCTTCCTGCCTCCCACTCCCCTCCTGCCCCTCTCCTTCTGCCCCGCTCCCCTCCTGCTTGTCCCTCCTGCCCCTTTCCCTTCTGCCCCCTTCCCTTCCAGACCCCCTACCCTCCGGCTCCCTTCCTGTGCTCCTCCCTCCTGCCCCTCCCTCCTGTCCCTCCCTCCTGCCCCCTACCCCCAAACCTGCCAGAAGACATACAGGTGTTCCCCCATATGAGAAAAAATAAATAAAATAAACAGATTCTCTCCTTCCCTCCGGAGCTTCAAAGGGAACATAAACCTGAAGGTCAATATAAGAGGTGATGAAAGGCGGATCGTGTTTATCTGATGGCCGCCATAACACCGCAGCGGCAATAGGAGGTACAAGAGGGGGGGGGCTCTCCGAGATCTCCCATGTTTGGTTTGGTGTCTGGCATAAGAACCATCGCCAACACGAGCAATAAACAGCGCCTGGTGTTATTTTTCGTCCTGCAATAACATTCTGACAGAGGTTACGTTATAACGAGCATTCACACGAGTTGTACTTTCAGTAGCGCCTGTGTTATGTTAGTTCCGGGGGTTCCCGCTCCAGAGGGTCACAATGGCGGTATATTCAAGTGTTATCAATTTGTTGTGACCTGAAGTCTTCTGTCTCTCTCACTATCTTCCACCTGACGCCCTCAAGGTCGGATATTATTACCATTGACATAGAAAATTTAAGTATAATTAGATATACTATACAGTATACGATCCTATCTTGCCTTGTCGCAACCTGAGACAATCAATACATTGAAACTAATAAAATGGCTCGTCATCTAAACAAAATAAATATTACCTTTGTTATCTATTTCATGGAAGGAACATCGTCTATGATGACAATGGTAATGGAGAGGAATTAATAGCGCGGACGATGGTTTTCCCGGTGGTGCCAGAGACCTCTATACAGCGTCTGGTGTATCCTGTATTCCTGCCGTTATTGTAATCATCATAAAATATCGAGTAAAATCCGCTTGATGGATCTTCACATTAGAGCTGAGGTTTAAACAATGTGATACCCGTTGATAGAGACCGAGGCTGACACACCGTCATGCAGGAGTGATGGTTCCTCTTGATGGATCATATTATTATTTTTTTTCACTCTTCCAAGAAATGGATGATGCTATCACAGCCTTGGTTTTCCCGAAACAAAACTTCACCGTCATTGTGGTGAACTGGACTTGACATCTTCAAATGCTATCATAATAAACTTGTATTTGTATTTATTTATTTTTTCCTTCACTCCTTGAAGCGTTTATCCAGTACGACGAGTTGTGGCCGGAATCAAGATCAACACAAATTCTTTCATCATTCATTGCCTTTCATTCCTTCATTCACTCAGTATATACTACTTAACATGTGTTTTACTAAAGTGTTTCTCTCACAACAAGGCCCCAAAATGTTGCCTCGCACAGCCCAGCGTCATCCACTACTGCTAGCATTAACTCCATCCTCTTGTCATATTCCTTACTGGTTCGCTCCTGGTTGGATAGTTTAAATACCTTTGTTATATCACCTTTGTTTAACCCTGACTTCCATTTATACACCTCGATCATACCGCCCCTCACTCTAAGTCTCGAGGGACTGCAAATTAAGCTCGGTTTGTGGTCACTTTTAACTATATTCCGATGTTCTTGTTTTACAATGCGAGAGTCAAAGTGTTATTCTTGTAATGATGTTAATGGGTATTTTTTTTACTGTGTTTGAGTCTATGATTTAGTAGAATGTTTATGTATGCTGATGGACCTGATTAGTATAATGAATTTATTATTTATTTTAAGTTTTTCTTTATTTGTTTTATGTTTCGTTTATTTTATCCTTTTCTCTTTATTCTAATTATTTTTATTTTTATTTTCAGGAGAGCGAATAGTTAGATCTTGGGAATTATTTTGTCGAAATTTTAGTCTTAAAGTAACATAGGAAGGATTTACTTCAAGTTATCTTCAGTGTATTTTAGTCTTCACGAACTACGACAGTGTATCGTCAGAATCGTCGCTTCACACTGATATAAATGTGTTAGTTTTTAATATACCATTAAACATTTATTAATTTCTACGATATTTTCCGGTAAATATTCAAGCACTATCCCCGTGATATCTTTTAATCATCTTCGTGTCCACTCTTCAATATGCCCTTTAATTCTTTCTTTACATTAACTCTTTTATTAATTTACAAAACATATTTTGTTCTATCTTCATTGTTTCTTTGTAATTCATTTTCCAACATCAAGACATTGTTCACCAAGGCTCCCCGTGTTCCAGGTATCCTCACAACTACTCCTCACTCCTCATGGGTCGGCCGCGGCTTCCTCAGTGTGTGGTGGGGAAGGCTGACCCCTGGGGTGCCGCGCCCCGCCTCCACGATGAAATGACCTTTGACCCTACAGCCGCCTACACCCACCACTTCTCCTCCATGTCAGGTCAGTGTACAGTAGGTCAACGTCATACTTGAACTGATATCTATTTCTGACACCAATGTGTGTGTGTGTGTGTGTGTGTGTGTGTGTGTCCCATCTTTTAATTCAAAGAGAAACCTTACGGAAGCCATTGTTTAGGAGGCCTTTTAAAAGTCCTATTAACATTAACAATACGATAAATTACTCTTACGATAAATCAATGATCAGGTCACCCACTGTGCCACTCCAAGACTACAAGGATCACCTGAAGATTCGCCCTAGAGCTTAATTTATCTGAAGATTAACCAATCTAACGTTACCTGGGGGTTGGGTTGGGTTAGGTTAGGTTAGGTTAAAATTCAGGTGAGATAAGCTTCAGGTCATTCGAGTACATTTCCCTCGGGAGACTTAAGAAAGAGGTAGAAGAGCAAAGTGGCCTCCAGCTCCTCCTCCAGGCCCTGACCTCAACCTCACCTATGCCAACAATGTCGCCCTCGAGGAGTTAGAGTAATAATACATCCTGAAGGTCCATCATCTTTATCATTCACAGTTCAACAATGTTAAGTGTCTCTATCTCACCCCTTGACTGTGCTTTGGGTTAAGAGAGAGAGAGAGAGGGAGAAATAATGATAAAGCAAGAGAGAGAGAGTGATAAAGTGAGAGAGAGCATGAAAAACAGAGATAATTCGAGAGAGAGACAGACAGAAAGCTCCAGGTATGATAACACTCCAGGTATAACACTAACCATAATGGATTAACTATCAATTAAAATAAATATCTCAATACATATACATACGTAAGCTTAAAGCCATTCATACCTTGAAACGTGATTGGCTATTTCATCTCAGTGTTGCCACATACAAAAGATAAGTTAATTTCTTAATCAACAATTTTCATTAATATTCATGGCTTACTGTTTATCTGGTAATACCGATCACCTACATGACTGAATATATAGAATCCCTGCTATCATTACGTTGATATATAGACTGCGTAAATTTAGTATAAGTCAGTATGTATATCGGGAATCCTTACGCTTATATAATTGCTGTATAATATATAGAATCCCTGCGGCATTAACGTTTATACACAGAATGCATTAATGTGCTACAGATTACAATTATAAAGAATTCTTAAGCTTGAAAGAGACCTAGGGGTACTTGTAAGCCCGGACCTACGGCCTAGAAAACAGTGCGTTAATGTTCGAAATAAGGCAAACAGAGTATTGGGTTATATATCTAGAAGTGTAAGTAACAAGAGTGCAGAGGTCTTATTGCAACTATATCTTGCGCTAGTCAGGCCACACCTCGATTATGCGGTTCAGTTCTGGTGCCCCTAGTATAGAATGGATATAAATTCACTAGAGTCGGTGCAGCGAAGAATGACAAAAATGATTCCGGGACTTAGAAACCTTCCATATCAGGATAGGCTAAAGAAACTTAACTTGCATTCCCTAAAAAGACGAAGAGTGCGGGGAGATATGATAGAAGTATTTAAGTGGGTGAAAGGAATCAATAAAGGGGATATAGATAAAGTTCTTATAATATCCGAGCAGGATAGGACTCGGAGCAACGGATTCAAGTTGGATAAGTTTAGGTGTGGAGGGAGATAGGAAGAAACTGGTTCACAAATAGGGTGGTGGACGAGTGGAACAAGCTTAGCAACTTTGTAGTAAGTGCGGGAACTCTGGAAAGTTTCAAAAGGAGGCTGGATAGATTCATGGATGATAGAGAGTGGTAGTAACTCTCGACAGGAGCTGCCATGCACAGGCCAACTGGCCTATTGCAGACTCCTTATTTTCTTATGTTCTTATATAATGTTCTTATTTGTCACCAATATTGCATTGATTTATAGAATGAATAAATATTATTCACATATATTACTCCGATACACTATTATTAGTATATTCCCACCCAGCATAATTTGTGTATTCTAACGGTAATAGTATACAGCTCTGTATAGTAGAGGTCGGACGGATACTGAGGCGAGAATGAAGTATTTACACTTTTCCTTTATTATGATGTTTGGGGTTAAATGGGAAATGGGAATGAGAGAGAAACTGATAGACAGACAGGGAGTGAAGAATAGATGTAGTAAAGTGATGAAACACAGAGAGAGAGAGAGAGTGTCGACACGTAAATAGACGGACAAACAGACAGAAAAGTAGATTGACAAGAGAGAATAGGAGAGGGGGAGAGATAAAGAGAAACAGTATTACCAACGACAAGACAAAGAATTCTTCCCGGAGGTGTTGCCAACGCTGGAAGAATTTTCAATTATGCAAAATAACCAGAACTTTTATAGTTAAGTGAACTCGAAGGGGGGGGATAAAGAGAGAGAGGGGATTATCACCTCCTGGCTTACACAACATTAACACCCTCCCCTCCTTCCCTCTCCCCTTACTCTCTCCTTCTTTTCCTCCTCCTCCTTTCCCCTCCTCCTTCCTTCCCTCCCCTCCCTTCCCTGCCCACCATCCTCCTCATCTCTTCCACTTCAAAGAGCTGGACACCCCCAGAACTGTCCCTCTCACCCTTTCCCCCTATTCCTCCCCTTCCTCCATATTCCCCCCTTCCCCTTTCCTCGGGGCATCATCCACTTCAAAGTCTAAAGAGGAAGATATTATACACAACATCATAGAAGTAGACTTTGAAGTTCACAGAATTAAACAATGAACTTAACAACATCTCCGTCTTTCTTCACATCAAATTCTTGGACCTCATAAACTTACCTGAGCTTCGTGGTTTAGGATACGATACATTTCTTTCTCTCTTATTCAAATGAGATGTTGGACTTAATAAAATCCCATCCTAATTCTAATTTTATTTTGGATTTCCTAAAATTATAATCCTGACTTACTTAATTTTCATTGCGTATCAGAATTAGTTTTTGGATTTACATTAGATTAAACCTTTGGACTTAACGAAATAAATTTTCTTAGTTGAATAAATACTGGACTTAGTAGGATTAAATTCCATTACCTAACTTAGATTTTGGGTCTAAATGAAACTAGAGGCCAGGCTTCACAACAAGCGACTTCGGGCTAAACATTACTGGCATTTTTACTTCAAATATTTTACTGATTTGCTTAGAAAATTCCTTTACATTGTTGTTGATAAAACCAGACAGGTAGCGCACTAATTCCCACAACTGAAACATTATCCTAATCTTGCCTAATTTAAACTAATCTACATTTACTTAACCTAACTTAACCAATCTAAACCAATTCTTAACCAAACTTACCATAAAGCAGTATAACCTAACCTAACCTAACCTAAATAACTTTGTCGAATGTGGAAATGAGAGAAATGGTGAGAGATGGAACGAAGATGTAAAGGAAATGAGACTTATGTAGGAAGAGAGAGAGAGAGAGAGAGAGAGAGAGAGAGAGGAACAAGGAAGGGGCGGATATTTATAACGAAGAAAGGGAGGGAAGAAGAGGGGAAAGAGGAATGGGGAGGGAAGAGGAGGAGGGAGAGGGGAGAGAGAGTAAGGGAAAGGGCGGAGCAACATGATTAAATGGTTGTTGGCTGCGTTATTGCATTTAATTGTCTCGATCAAGAGGCTGCGTTCCGACTCGCGCCTCACACAGCTGGCGACGACTTTGACTTTATAACTGACTCACTGTTTGAGCTCGTGTGGGCGGGAGATTCAGTCACATCATGTATACACTAAAATGAATAAAACTCGTCTATTTATTACTTCATGACACGAAGATGTCAAAGCAATTTAAGTTATTTTTAGATTTACAGTGACAAAATAGTATCGTATTGAATAGAAAATAAAAATTTATACTTTTAATAACGTTTAGTATTAATGAGAAAACTGTCTCCACTTCTTATTGATTAAAAGATGATGAGAACATAAAAGTAAGAATATATTTTCCTTTTTAGTTTCAAGTTGTAACCAAATTTGAAGAACATCTTTGGTAATGAAGCGAAGAAAATTGATTAAATTGTTAAGGAAATGTATATAATGAACTTTAATATAAATTGCCTAATATTTATCTTATTTATTGTTTATCATTTACTTATTTAGCCTCTATTACATTTTGTTCATATTATTTATTACTTGTTAAATTTAACCTGGAAAATTGACGACGGAAATTACAGATTTTTTTTATTAAATATTAAAAGACAATTATCAAGTAGGCTGGTTTTAAACCCTTTGAGTACTATGAGTTAAGTACTATGACAAGCATGATGACCTAATCCCTTGAATAAAGCCTCATTGTACTTAAGGGGTTAAGTCACCATACTCAATGGATTAAATCATCGGACTAATCGAGTTCAAAGGGTTTAAAAGGGTAAGGAAAACTGATCAATAATTTGGTAAATATCATCATGTACATTGATTAGTATTAAGATTTACTGTGATCATTTACACTTATCAGTATAATAGAGAATAGAATCATTTACAGTAGCAATTTGTGTGGTACCTTATATCATTTACAGTGATTAAGAACATAAGAACAACATCTAGAAGTAGGTCATAAGTGGGTCACAACATCTAGTAGTAGGTCATAAGTGGGTCACAACATCTAGTAGTAGGTCATAAGAGGGTCACAACATCTAGTAGTAGGTCATAAGTGGGTCACAACATCTAGTAGTAGATCATAAGTGGGTCACAACAGCATCTAGTAATTAACAGGTCATAAGTGGGTCCACAACATCTAGTAGTAGGTCATAAGGGTCACAACATCTAGTAGTAGGTCATAAGTGGGTCACAACACTTCTAGTATTAGGTCATAAGAGGTCACAACATCTAGTAGTAGGTCATAAGGGTCACAACATCTAGTAGTAGGTCATAAGAGGTCACAACATCTAGTAATTAGGTCATAAATTGGGTCACAACATCTAGTAGTAGGTCATAAGTGGGTCACAACATCCTAGTAGAAGGTCATAAGAGGGGTCACAACATCTAGTAGTAGGTCATAAGAGGTCCACAACATCTAGTAGTAGGTCATATCGCAGGTCCATATCCTAGTAATGAGTCATAAGTGGGTCACAACATCTAGTAGTAGATAT